CGCTTTACTGCCAGTGGAAGTTGACCCGATCTGGTAACCCACATGCAGGGACTTTGTCTGAAACAATAGCTATCTTGGTGGCAAACAATCAAGGAAGGTCAACATCACAGCTATCTGAGTTGTGATACTGGATGGAGTAATTTAGCATACAACCCAGCAAATTCACTCCTAAGTATCTACCCAAAAGATATAAAAACACATGTCCACACAGAGACTTAAACATAAATGTTCATAGCAGCATTGTATATTATAGTCAAAAACTAAAGATAACCCAAATGTTCACCAATTGATAAATGTATAAATAAAACTTGGTATACACAAAAAACAGATTACTGAGCAACAAAAAAGTAGTTACTGCTACATGCTACAACAGAGATGAGTCTTTGAAAGAACAGCTAAGTACAAGAAGCCAATACAAAAGACCACATATGATTTCACTTATATGAAATATCCAGAAAAGGCAAATCTATAGAGACAGAGAACAGATTGGTCTTTGCCAAAGACTGAGGATAGGACAGTGGAGTGAATTTAACTGAGCAAATGGGAATATTTCAGATTGTGGTTATGGTTGCACAACTCTATAATTTACTAAAAAACAACTGTACTCTTAAAATGGGTGGATTGTATGGTATGTAAGTGTACCTCAAAAAAGCTCTTAAAAATTGGTATTTTAGGGGTGCCTGGGTGGCTCAGTTGGTTAAGCGACTGCCTTCGGCTCAGGTCATGATCCTGGAGTCCCGGGATCGAGTCCCGCATCGGGCTCCCTGCTCGTCAGGGAGTCTGCTTCTCCCTCTGACCCTCCCCCCTCTCATGTGCTCTCTCATTCTCTGTCAAATAAATAAATAAAATCTTAAAAAAAAAATTGGTATTTTATGGAGTATGAAAATATGAGTAAGGATGTTAGCACTAATACAGAATAATCATTAGCTCTATTATAATAATCCAGCTTCTCTTAAAGTATGAAGCATTTTGAAATAGCATTATAAGATTGTAAGCAAGTTTTATAAAGCAAGTGTCTTATTGCTTCATAATATACTAAAATAGAAAATTCTAAGAGCCCAATTATTTTCCATGGTATATCTGAAGAAATTTTCCCATTCAGAAATGGTCTCATAAATCATGATAATAATAATTTCAGATAGTTATAAGAGAATATGTTCTGAAATTACAACATGTGTTATAATAAACTGCATACAAAAAAAAAAAAAACCCCGCAGGAATTGCTCCATATTCCAGCTATTGAAAGAGAGAAAAATAATTGCTAATAATTTACTCTGGCATTAGCTTGGCACTAGACAATGCTCTGAACAAAAGAATGAATACCATTTCAGATAGTATCTACCAAGGTCCTCTGAGATTAATGTAATTGTCAATTTTTAAACTAATTGAGGAAGCTGAGACCATTGTCCTTATGTCCCTTTATAGAGTTTCTTTGCTAGAGATTGATCAGAAGCTCAGTTTTATATTTTGTTAGAATAACAGCAACTAATAAAATGGTCATTTTGTGCTGAAAAGATTTTTCCTAAAAAGTAGGACATAAAATGATGGCCAATATGTTTTCTCTCTCTTTAAATTTAAAATGTCAGAAAGGCCATTTTCACCTATGAAAGTTCCATCACAGATATGTGGGTACATACACATATATGCATATATACATATAACATATGCAGATATTTAAGTAAATAACATTACCTAGTGTCGACGGAGATGTAGGAAATTTGATAATACCGTGTGTTGCTAGTGACGTTGCCCAGATAGAAAACAATCTGTCAGTGTGCATCTTTAAACATGATAATCTTCATGCCTGTGACTAGTAATTCAGTTTCAGAGAGTCTATCCAAATATCCTGCTACTTGGGCATTGCTTGAATCGGTGTAGCCTCTTTTGGGTCCAGAGTATGTGTGTGGATATGAGAAAGAACAATCTGACTCAAAGAACCTTAAATATTTGCTCATTTCAGAGCGCCTGCCTGCATCATGATAAAAGAATTAACAAAGACTAATGGCGTAAATCTCTTTTCCCCTCTGACACATTTTCCACAAAGTCCTCCCAATTGTTTTGTCGCTGTGTCAATCCATATCCCATGTGAATTAATAGAGATATTAGCAAAAGATCTGGGCAGAATGAGTCTGGAATTGTGACCCTTGAGGCTAATGTAGAAACATTGTTACTTCGGGTCCCATTTGGCAAGGTTTTATTGTTTTAAGGCTTTGGGCACACTGTGACCTACAGTACGTGCCAATGAGCATGTGCAGAGCCTTCGTTTGGGTCCCCAAGTTTCTGATAGCTTTGTACCAAGCATATCATTTATGTGACAGGATGATAAATGCAGTTCTTCCTGTAGGCTCAGAAAGAGGCCACAAAGGCTGAGAAGAGAACAATAGTTGCCTGGTAACCATGCAATCTAAGCCAAGGGGATTTGCAAAGAGGGTGGCCCAATGCTGAGTGTGACACAATTAACGGACCACTTATCTCCAGTTCAGATAAAAGGGTGAGATTAAAAAGTCAAGACAATTTAATTTCTGTTGGCTTGCTTTGGTTTTGTTTTGCTTTATAATTCTTACTCAAGTATTATATCTGAAAGAGAAGTGCATGTATTGTTAAGTGTTCAGCTCAATAAAATCTTATGAAACTCAGTTTGCCCAGAATGCTAGCATCAGATCAGGAAACAGAATATTACCAGCACTGTGAATCCCTCCTTCAAGCTTCTTCCAGCCAATGACCTCACCATTCTTGACTGTCAACATAACATAGAGTAACTTGACCTATGTTAAGGATTTTATGTAGTGTCATACAGTATATATACTCTTGTGCCTGGCTTCATCTGCTCAATATTGTGTTTTTGATATATTGGTGTGTGCTGTTGTGTATGTATGTACAACATAAAGCTTCTATGCACATACTTTTGTTGAACATACGCATGCATGTCTGCTAGATATATGCCTCAAGAGTGGAATTGCTAGGTCATAGAGAATAGATATGTTCAGCTAGAGTATATAATGCCAAAGCATTTTCTAGTTATTATACCGATCTATACTTCCACCAGTAGTATATGAAAGTTCCAGTGGTTCGCCATATTTACTAACACTTGGTATTTTCTTTTTCACTTTACCCACTCTGGTGGGAGTATTGGGGTAGTGTGAGAGGATTTATTTCAAGAAATATTTAACCATGCTGTGCTTCACCTTCCCTCACCTAAAGTAAGAGGAGCTTTGAGATCTATAAGAAAATCTTCAAGTATGCTTTCCAAGAGCTCAAGGAACAAGAGGACAAGCTCTGACCTCTGTCTACTAGTACTAAAGGCAAGCTCTATGGCTGGTACGGCCTCTCGTTCCTGGCAGAGTAGAGGACTGCCCCGGGAGCCAGCTCCTCTTCCAACAAAGGTTGAGCAGAGGTGCAGGTTCCTGGGAACCAAATATGAACTAAAAAAAAAAGGGATCCAATATGGGTTTTATCAATATTAACCTGGACCCAGATGACTGATTGGAGATACGTAGGGACCCCAGTTATAAATAGCTGAAGGCCTAAAGGCCAAGGGTGAAGTTGGATACAGCCAGCCAGACAAAAGGCATTCCTCCCACCAAGGAGTTGCAGTGGGGGGGGGTCTCCAATAGGAATATTGCTAAGGACCCTGTAAATGTACCCCTTGGGAAGGGAAGAGGCATCATTGGAAAACTACTATCACCAAAGTGCCCCAACACCAGATTCCAACTGGTCTAGCCACTTAAGCTCATGTCCTTTTCACCATTGCCCTGGGGTCAGCCATATAGTAATCAGCAAACAACAAAGAGAAGACACTACTAGTTCTGTCCTTTCCTGTTATAGGCTTCTAATACTCAAGAAGCTCTGTGCTTAGGAGGGAGAAAACTTTAAGTTAAAGTTTGGCAATTGAAATACCACTACACTAGATTGGAGTTAAGTCATGAGATGAAATTGAACTTGTCAGTGCTTTAAAGAGATTATTTTTTTTTTTTTTATCATTGTTTAGGAGGGACTGGAAAAACTAGAGGGCATGTAGGAATTTCATCCAGGGGCAGGGAGGAAACTGATCCACAGTAAGAATTAAAAGGAGAATGAGAAAGAATACGAAAGAATTTCATACAGTAGAGGTGACTGACTTAGTGTCTAAAAAAACAAAAAACTCTGATAACTTCAATGTTACTTCCCCTGTGATATTCAGTCTTTCACAGATACAGTTTATAGGCATGCAATAAGTAGCAAACTATTTGAAGTTTATGTGAAAGTTGCTGTAGCACATGTTGAAACAAATCAGCTTCAACAACTACCTAATCGTGGGCCTCAGAAAAGGTAAAATCATTCAACAGAAGGTGTCAGATTGACATGGCTGAGTGACTGCAGCCTCTACTTCTCAGTGGACAGTGATAACTTCATGCCTATGCCTTAACCTTCTAGTGCTCTGAAGACGGGTCCACTAACTTGTTCTGACACCTCCTGGGACAGTAACAGTCCTGCTCCAATTTTAACAACAACATGCGTGACCAACACACAGGCTAGTGAAGTTTCTGTTCCACAAGTAAATGCCAGTGAAGGTTCAGGGGGTACATCGAGTATAAGCATGTCGTAAAGTGCCACACAACCAACCACTTCTCCATGACCAAAGCCTACAGTCCCTAGAGTCCATTCTTCAACATGTCTTGTAAACCAACCACTTAGACCTTCAAGGAATGTAGCAGCAAAATGACCTAATCCTATAGTAGGAGTCAAGAGGACATCCTCACCAAATAAAGAAGAGCATCCCAAGAAAACCAAAACAGAAGAGAATAAAACAAGTAAAGAAGCTAACAGTCTTGTTTTGAGTGGACATGAGAAAACAGAAATAAATGAACAACTTTATATGAAGAAAATTACAACTCAACTAGAAACTAAGGGGCTTCTCTGTTGGCCCCTCAGAAAACCCCTAGTATGGACCTTTCCAATATCCTTGGTCAGCCTGCAAATTCCATTCCTACTATCAAGGATTCAATAAAATTGAGATTTACCTGTCAACAACTTCAGGGATCCATAAACAGTATCTGCCAACTCAACCAGTTGTCTTCAAGTGCTAAAAAAGAGAATAGAGTGGACAAGGTTAACATGACTGAAAAAGAAAAGGTTTAGGTTTATTTGGTGACCTCCCTCACTGGGCTAATCCACATTTGTTTAAAAGTCCTAATTAGTAAGTGCAGAGGCAGGAGTGCTATTATTAATTTGCTAACAACAGTATATGAAGGATGTCAGATATTGATAAACCTAGTTACTCTTTCTTAATCTGGACAAAGAAAATGAACAGATTTTTCCAAACATGTTTTACGAATCCTCCATTGAGCTCTATACTATCATATATGCACTTCTCATGTTAAATTGCAATTATTCAAACCCTTCCTCTTTCTCTTTTTTTAATTTTTTAAAGATTTTATTTATTTATTTGAGACAGAGAGAGAGAGCAAGCATGAGCAGGCGGAGGGGCAGAGGGAGAGGGACAAGCAGGCTCCCCACCAAGCAGGGAGCCTGATGCAGGGCTCCATCCCAGGACCCTGAGATCATGACCTGAGGCCATGACCTAAGCCAAAAGCAGACACTTAACCAACTGAGCCACCCAGGCGCCCCTTTCTCTATCTTTCTAAATTAATGTTCCAAAGTTGGAGTATAGTCTTAACACCCTTAGGAGATGCACTGAGGCTTTCTTTTCTCCATTAATTTATGTTATCTAGTAGACACTATTTCTTCTTCCCACATTTTCATTCTCTGTAGTCACTTTGCTTTCCCTCCCACTCCCTAAGAAAATATTGTTATACTAACAGGTGTGATGCAGTATCTGGTGTTTCGTGTAGCTATGGATTTAGATCGAAACTGCCAGGCACAGATTTCAGTATTGTCATTTTGTTGACACAATGGGGAAAATTCAGCTTATTAAACATTTCACGGAATTGCACCCAAGCTTTGCCAAGCAGGAAAGTTGGACATTTTCTGTGTAGTGACTTTTTAATTCTAGTTTTCATAACCTAGAGATCAGATTGTTGCTTTCACATGATGTATGTAGTATCTCATGAGTGGAGTTTGTTTTGCCTTGAAGTATCTAGACTCCTTTTATTTTTCAGGAACTATATTGTAAACAGAAGATATATTCCCTCATTAAAAACACATTTTGAAGATAACAAATTTGGAGGAAGGAAGGAAGGAAGAAAAAGAAAGAAAGAAAGAAAGAAAGAAAGAAAGAAAGAAAGAAAGAAAGAAAGAAAGAAAGAAAGAAAGAAAGAAAGAGAAGGAGGGAGGGGGGGGGAGGAGGGAGGAAGAAACAGCAGCAACAACCAATACCAAGCTTACGGAGAAAAATTCAGGAATGAAATATGCTAAATGTTTAGCATTAAAGGAATTGGGATTGTGACTATATTTAACTGTGCTCAGTATTTCTAATTTTCTGTGACAAAAGTATATAGTATTTTCAATGTTAAGAACATAAAAATAATAGCTTGGAGTTATTAATTTAGAACAAACATTAAAGAGCTAGAGGTTTAGATTTTATTTTAAATAGATAAGTTTAATGATAGGTTTTACTATCTATACATTTAGAAGTTATCTTGGGAAATCATTTGTAATATTTCCACTAGATATATTTCGATATAGATAAAATATATGTATATATGCATGTATAGATATGTGTATATCTCTATCTCCATCTATTGAGTGTATATGTATGTGTGTGTGTGCAATTCAAAAGCATTTCATTGTCTATCTCATTGCATACATATAGTACTTTTTAAGTTACAGTTACAAAATGTTATAACAGATACAGAAAGCTGCCTTCCTAGAGCCTGGAAAACTGTAAAGCATTAAGAACCAAAGTGATTTTTTACATACGTTTTCATGTGATTTTAATGGGCTTATGGGATATTTTATGGCAGAGATGACACAGTGTTAGCTGAATCATTGAATAATTCCTAGAGAATATTACTAACATCAATATCTGAAGCTTATTTTTAAGAAGTTATACTTGTAGCCCTGGATCAACTATATGATGCCCTTAAGCTTAACAACCCTAAGCTCTTTGTTAGAGACACAGTCTAGGGCCTTCAAAAAAAATCTACATAATATTGGTTTCAACTCCTTGGAGATAGTCCAATGTCCCATCAAGGATTTTTGTAAATTCCTGGTAGAGGTGTTAGAGAAGAGGGACATCTCCTGCTCTGGTTGTCTGCCTTAAATTAATTCTTATCCTCTACTTTGTGTCTCAGGATTGTTCCTTTTCCTCTACCCTAAGGGAAAACTTAATATGAGATGCATACTCCTTGAGGCCCCAAGTCAAAAGTGAATAGGATATGATTTTAAACAGCATTCCACTGAATAATGTATAAGCATGGTATATCAAGTAAATTTAAATTGCATGTTGGATATACTTATCCTTCAAATCCATTGATCACCTAGGTATAGGAGATTTCTCCCCGATTCCACAACCCCAAGTAGCACTCTGGCCTCTTGACATTTCCTGAATTCCTCTACTCATCAATTAAACTACATTCCCCTAATGACGTTATCTTCTTACTCTATTATAGAAAACATTTCAGAGATTATTAATATCAGTTTCTATAACAACCATTTATAACCGCCTGAACAAGACAAATATCAGAACAAAGCCATATGGACAGGAGACCCTAGGAAGGGGAGAAATATATATTTATTTTTAACAGATCCATTGACTGAATTTGTCCTGTCTGTTTAAAGGAGAGTTGCGACAGCATTAATTCATCTGTTTTGAGAAATGTTGGCACTGTGCTCAGCTCTAAGGACACTGTGTTAAGTGAAACAGATAAAGCCCATACGCAGACATATTTACTTGTCTTGAGGAAACACGTTATCACATAAATAGACACAGAGAAGAGCCATGAGGAGTGCGGTATAAAGTGTAAATATGTATTGTTAAAGTGTACAGGGAACCTAATTTCAAATGAAAACTCAAGGAAGGCCTCTCTGAAAAGTAATCGTGTACAGCATGTCCTCAAGGATGAGAAGAAGCCAGGTATGGAAAGGGCAAAGAGGAAGATGCACCAAGTCCCTAAGGTAAGAACTTTGGGTGTTGGAAGGAAGGAAAGAAGGTTAGGAGGGAGTAGTATAGACAGAGCGTTGGCAGGGCAATGAGCGCAAAGAGTGTGCAGAGGAAGGCAAAGGTCAGCTCCCAAAGGATTCAAAATAGTATTTTTGGTATAACGGGAAATCCTTGAAAAGTTCTGGGGAGGTGTTAGCATGATCCACTTGACATTTTAAGGAGATCACTCTGTAGTTCATGAAGAAGAGATCCAAAAACAACAGTGGATGGCATTTATTTTCATAAATCTAGAAGATGCTATGATTGGGGACATACTACACAAATTAGATCTAAGACCTTTTTTGGAAAGAGTCTATGTAAACATACATGGCCATTTCTTTAGAGACTAAAGTTTAAAAAATGAAATGGCTCTCCATCTGGATTTGGATGGCCAGATTGTTTTTTCATCTGATGCAGCACTGTTTGGGCAACTTGGTATTTCAGAACTGTGTGAGCTAAAACTCTGTTGAAGTTAAATGTTTAGATGAGGATTCTCTACCTCTTTCACCTCCAGGTAAGGGCAGAGAAGTACAGCTCCAACTTAGTCTTCTATGTTATTTGATCTTCCTACCTATGTAGATGCCTAAATAAATAGATAGGTAGATAGATATAGATGCAGGTAATAAAAAGCTATCATTTACTGAGAAGCTACTATGAGTTGGGCCTTTTTTTATACATTACCTCAAATGCTGAACAAGGTCGCCCTCATTTTACAGATGAGAGAATGGAGATTCAGAAATGTTAATTCCCTTGCCCAAAGCCACACAGCTATTACATGGGCCTACTACTAATACGTACATCCAGAATCACTAAATCCAGTAATCCAGAGGTAAATCCAGAATCAGAGGAAACAACTGTTGAACTTCCTCTTTCGTCCTTCTGACAACACACATTTTTCCTCCCTAAAATGAAGAGCTAATATTTATTACATAACAGGACATCATTTAAAGGAATAAACAATTATCTGGTTCACTTGAATTTCATTTGATTTATTCCTTCAGACAGATAACTGCATTTAGTGTGGCTGACAGAATACATACAGAAATAAGGAATCATCAGTTTGTGATAGTGATATGTGATAGGCATCCTCCCTCTCTTCACACAGATCACGGGCAGATGTGTGTCCTCAAAGATGCACAGATTCATATGGAAGCGAGAAAAACAAAAACCAGTCCTGAAGGCCCAGTTCTCTAAATAAAAGAGGAGTATCACAAAAACAGGAGGCAGCAAGCCTTCATTGATCATGTGTCTACCTGGGATACTGTCAGCAATATTCAGGTTCAACCCTCTGTTTCTTATCAGAATGTTCGTCTGGCAGTGTTCTTGTGGATTATCTATTTCTGCTGAGTAACTTGCAGCAGGGCTGCTAATCAGGAGAGAAAAGAAGCTGCCTTTGGTGATGAAAATTGCTTTCCAGTGACTGATTGTGCTAATCAATCTTCTACAAGGGAAATCAGGAGTAAAAGATGGCCAATAATTGCAAAACACTGCTGTACCCATGAAGAAAAATAACAGACGCACAAAGCCCAGAAAAGCAACTCTTGGGGAAATGTTGCAGAGTTGGCTATTTAAAAAACATATACGTCGGAAAGCAGGTTTTCGCCATCTAAGTCTTCTGTGTAGTGTATGTAGGTAAGGACTGTGCCTCCTTTACTCTGGCCTCCTCTACTCTGGGTAATCTGGGATTTCTCATTTGGAATCTGAAAACTGATTGAAAGTTATAGAAATTCTCAAGATTGTTGATGAAGGGATGACATTTAGCCTCTGATCGTAACTTTTTGTGTATGATAATTACAACTGAATGAAGGGCAGAAAATCTTTCTTGTTAATGATTCCCAGCTGTCAGCGCAGCTCAACAAATGATCCACAGTGGTTCAGTCCCTCTGTTGAGAGTTTGCTTGTAAGTTCCTTGTGATATTACAAGTACAAAATTGGGTGTAATGTTGGTTCTATAGCTAGTTGTATGCAAACATTGTAAAGTAGAAACTAAAATTTATATTCCTCCCCCCAAAAAATGGAATTGTTTTTCCAATCTGTTGTGCATTTAAAGCAATTTTTTAAGACTCTGCATAACTTAAAAGTCAACTACATAAGAGATCTGGAATCATACCTGTGAATAAAATATGTGAGAGAGGGGCGCCTGGGTGGCTCAGTCGGTTAAGCGTCTGCCTTCAGCTCAGGTCGTGTTCCCTGGGTCCTGGGATCCGAGCCCCGTGTCGGGCTCCCTGCTCAGCGGGAAGCCTGCTTCTCCCTCTCCCACTCCCACTCCCTCTGCTTGTGTTCCCTCTCTCGCTGTGTCTCTCTCTGTCAAATAAATAAATAAAATCTTTTTAAAAAAAATATGTGAGATAATGCTTGAAATTTGAAAAATCAATTTGGCTGCTTAGAATCACAAATTGAGTTTCTTCAGATCTAAAACAGCCTCAATTACAAGGCTCACTAAAACAAGGAAGAAATAGATCACAAATGAAATTATGATATATTGCTTGAATGAAAGTCCTGCCTGACACATGATCTGGTCATACCGGCTTTTTTTTTTTTTTTTTTTTTTTTTGCTTTGAAGTTTTCTATTTCCAAGAGATTTGGAAATTTCTCTTGCCTCAAGTGACATCGCTTGGAGTATATGAGGTAATTCCAAAAGAATGTAACAAAACCTACAACAGCAATGTCTCTTCATGATGGGACTTTCTTAGGTCTCATGAAGCATTTTTGTATGTCTTTGCACAAAACCATGAAATTGTGTTCACTCCCCCAATGATAAATATTTGCTTTAATAGCATTAAATTTGTGCCCTAGTGCTGTATTTTCATGGCTAAGTAATTCTATATTCCAAAACAAATGATACTGTAATTATGGATAAAATTGTAGAGCAATGAAACTCAACATGTTTAGTAACATAATTCAGCTGAAATGGTATTAAAAGCTACGACCAAGAGTGCATGTGAGCAGGCAACAACAAATACAACATAACTGCTAGCCCGACAAGGGCAATTGGAAGATACAGACATGTCCTGATTTCAGAGAAGTTAAAATGTGGAAAGTGTGCATCTTAGAATTGGTGAAATACACTAATACTGCAAGGTGAAACTTTCAAGATAATGATTTCCAGTTACCTCATTTTCCATGGTAGGTCCATGAGGCCCAATGAATTAAGAAAAGCTGTTTCAGATGGTGGTAGAAACTAGATAAGATTCCTAATTTTTAGGACAGCTTATACTCTATTAATTCATGTTTTTCCTAATCTGCCCCTTTTGAATGATTTACTTTGTGATTTCTTATTTTCATGTGCTTAAAGCTGTTATTTGATTGAAGACTGATTTAACTCATCGTTCTATCAACCACTGAATATCAAACATGCTATATAGGCTGCTTCTATGCTCTATTAAGTGAACTTACTTGATAATATAAGATGTTCTTAATTCATTATGTAATTCAATATTTCATTTAGTTTCTAGGAACTAAAAGATAAAATAATTGGGGCACCTGGGTGGCTCAGTCAGTTAAGCGTCTGCCTTTGGCTCAGGTCATGATCCCAGGGTCCTGGGATCAAGTCCCACATCAGGCTCCCTGCTCAGCGGGAAGCCTGCTTCTCCCTCTCCCACTCCCGTTGCTTGTGTTCCCTCTCTCGCTGTGTCTCTCTCTCTGTCATAGAAATAAAATCTTTTTAAAAAAAAGATAAAATTATTATCCTTGATTAATCTTTCCTAAAATATTTTCATTCTGCCAAATTAAAGGTCTTCCTTTTGTTTGCTGCATCACTTCTAGATTTTTCCATCCAATTTTTTTTTTTTGAGAGAGAGAGAGGGAGAGAAAGAGAGAAGGGGAGTGGAAGGGCAGAGGGAGAGGGAGAAAGAGAATCTTAAGCTGTCCGTGGAGCCCAACACGGGGCTCGATCTCACAACCGTGAGATCATGACCTGACCCGAAATCAAGAGTAAGACGCTTAACCAACTGAGCCACCCAGGCGCCCCTCCATCCAATTTTTGAGGCTTTTCATAACTTAGCCTCATCTAAATCACTCAATTTTATTTCCCTCTACTTGAAACCATATTATCCTAATTTGTACTTTGGTCATTATCACTACTGTTATAATGTCTGTAGAATTACTGTTCAATCTCAGGATTTTAATTACTGCCCATGGAACCTTCTCAAAGTTAAGTAATTTCTATTCATTGGTTTTGGCTACCTGCACAGACTGTACAGCACATCTAGGCTTTGAGTGTTCCACACGAGTAAGTGCTTTTGACAGAACCAGAAAAGGAGGATCTGGAGTCAACATACCATTGGCTATGGGGCTTATATTAGTTTTGACTTCCTCATCTGGCTTTAGCAGTTCTCTCTAAAGTTGGCTTTAGTGGGTGTGCAGTAGACAGTGTCACACGATCGGGTGTATGTGAAGGCATTCTCAAGCAGCATATCACCTTTTTCCATTCTTTTCTCATGACAATATATCTCTGTCAGTAACGAAGCTTCTTCCTAAAACAAAAAAAGCAAACTTAGAAACCATTAAATAAGGCATCACTGAATACCTTAAAACTATTACTGTATAACAGATGGTTGGTACTCACTTCTGGTTATTCTGTCCCTCACATATCTACTCTGCTAAAAAAAAAAAGTGCTCAAAAATACTAAAGGACTAATTCAATATGAAAATAAGAAACTTCATTATAAAAGTAGACTTACTAGCACCTGAATATGTTTGTCATCATTCAGAAAGTATTCTGGATCAACAGAAGTATGTTTAGCTATGGATCAAAAGACTAAGGAGGAATTATAGAGTGTTTGAGTTGGTTTATGATAGCTGGTAATTTCCTTTCATCTTTTCTCTTCTCTAACTTATTAAACTGAAGTCCTAAGGACAATTTTTAACCTCAAAGCCATGATCACTTTGCCATTAAGATTAGTCAACAAGACATATGATATAAACTGTTTATCATATTCCATTTCAAATAAAATTATACTACCCTAGATAACCTAGATATGATTCAATCACCATCTTTTACATAGGAAAACATACACACATGGAGCATTATATACAGCACTGTACAGATATAAAATTTTAGATTTATTATGAGCACAGGATTTAGGCTGCAAATTAAGGTTGCAGAAATCAAGTACTGTATCAGAAAATAAATATTCAAAAACAGATAATTTAATTAATATGATAGAATACAATCACTAGAAATTATGGCTTCCAAGTAATTTCTCAGTATATATGAAAAGTTAACTTTAAGTTTTCAAAAGCATATCATGTGATAAAACTAATGTGATCTAGTTAAAATCTACACATATTCTATGTAGCTACCAATATATATTTATCTATATATTAATATTTAGAAGGTATACATCCAAATGTAAAATGAGGACAGTGATTGGTATGAGCAATGACATTATAAAATATTGGTCTGATCAATTAAAATGGGATTACTTTGGTGTTTTAGTTTGTTCATTTTATGTTTTTGTTCTTCATTTCTAATACAGAGCATTCATATTTTATGGAAGATTTATTTATAATACAGTAGGAAAATATCCCATTATGCCTACTGAGGAAAAAAAAAACTACTAATGGGCCAGGATATTGCAAATTACGTGATAGTGGTCAAATATGTGTTGTTACATTACTTTGGTTATCATCAAAAATCAATGGTCATATCTAGAGAATTGGTAGATCCTTAATCTGACAAATCTATGTAACTCCTACAGTGAATATAATAATAGGTAATAGGATTGTTTTAAGAATTAAATGCAATAAGGGCACCTGGGTGGTTCAGTCAGTTAAGCATCTGCCTTCAGTGTGGGTCATGATCCCAGGGTCCTGGGATTGAGCCCCACATCGGCTCCCTGCTCGGCAGGAAGCCTGCTTCTCCCTCTCCCCGCCTGTGCTCTCTCTCACTATCTCTCTCTCTGTCAAATAAATAAATAAATAAAATCTTTTAAAAAAATAATTAAATGCAATAATGTATATAAAGTACCTAGTGTATTGCCTAGAAATTAGTAAGCACTCAATAACAATGCTTAAATTTTTCATAATAAAAATATGTTATTTTGGATGTTTTATTGAATAAAATCATATCATCAAATATATCTATCTTTATAAAAAGATTACAAAATTAATTAAATAATGTTAAACCAAGAACTGAGGTATTTATTATACCATATAGTAATCAAGAAGACCTTGTGCTTATAGGTACTTTAAAATTTCATACATATTTCACCAATCAGTTGGTTCTGTGCCTATCTGAAGGTGTGTTAATGATGGCTTTTCCAAATCATAAACATCTACCTTGAGGAAATAAATTTATAGTTCTATTAATCCAGAATGAATGTACTGTAAACTTCACTTCACCTCTCCATACTTCAACTTATTTTGCCAGCCATGTCTGCAACTCTTAGAAGAACAATTAAGTTAGGGAAGAAAACTATGACCTTCCTATTAAAATAAAACACCCAAGAGTAATGGAATGAGAATTTCCCAGAGGGCAATCACCATTGTACCTCAAAGCCCCAAAATGTTTCCTGAAATTCATTTTCTCTGTGTTTCTTGCTAGTTACTATAGAGACCACCATCTTGGTTGGGGGTTAAAATGGAGGTTGGAAGAGAGACAAGTAGAGAAACTCCCTAATAGCTACAAAACTCATCTCTAGACATCTCACAGCACTATTGACTTTATTAAAGGTTAAAGTAGTGGTTTCAGTTTGACATTTTAAAAAAATTCAATTAACATGGAGCTGTTCCAGATGAAGCAGAATCAGGAATCTTAATGCCTACCCTTCTCAAAGAGGGTTTTTGGAACCCCTTGATTTTTCCATTGAAAAGAGCTTTAAAAGACCTGAGTTGGAGGATAATCAAAGGGAAGTAAACACAGAGGAAAATATGAATCTAGGTCATCTGGTTTATAAGGTGCAATTTGGCTGTTTTCAGTTTGAGGACTTCTACAGAGAAACCTCTCTGTGAAACTCAGTATATTTCCATGAAGTCTTTACTTCTGTCATGAAGTATGTGTCATGAAAAGGAGGCCAAACATACATAGTTCTATATTCCCGAAGTTCTAAACTCAACAAAGCACAGTTCAAAACAAGGCTCTTTTGTTAAGTCTGGTCTTAATTTGGCTTTTCTTCCAGGTTCTCCTTGGTGTGAAAATACCAAAGTACTTTGATACTATCGGGACCTATTAATTTGAATATTTCCAACCTAACTGATCATCACCAGAAGATGGCATAAATACACTAAATAAGAGTGTGAATAAGTATTTAGAGACCCTTTCCTTGTTAAAGAATACAAAGGATGTTTTAAAATTATAGTGCATGAAAAAATAAAGAATAAAATTAGAGCGCATGATCCAACTTTAATTTTTTCCTTATGTATTATATTCTCAGAGAGTTCTTCTTTACTGTAGAGACTGTGTATCACAAAACGTGCAAACATGTTCTTTTCATTTATACTAATGTCAGTAACTAGAATTTTTTAAAAGGTAAAAATCTGTTTCAGTCTAGAGTCAAATCTGGAAAAAAATAAAATCCTTATTTCAGTTGATATTTTTCAATATGAAATACCTATTTTTCTTGCCACTTTAAGGGAAATAAACATTGACAAATGTTATTAACATTTAATGAATGATTAATAGCACTGCCTTTTCCATAATAATTTATTATAAGAAGTGTTTTATCATGTTCAAGAGACATGTAAATAATTCTATGCAATGCCATTTATAAATGCTTTATAACAGGTTGATGGAACATTATTTAGAACTTGCTTCAAACACGAAAAAGGTAAAAACAAGCCTCCTAATGATTGAATCTTAAAAGTCTGTGTTGTCATTAATCAAGTTTCTTAAATCATTTCTAAATGTTACCTCAATTTAAAATGCAACTGCCATTTCTTATTCAGTTGTTCCCTGAAGTAGGAATAGAACAAATCTACAGCACTCAACCTGGAGTAAGCACCATAGCATAGAATTGTTAGGTGCTGTGGCAGCAGAAAGTTTCAGAGAATTACCTGTCATCAAAGCCTAGAATATTCTGATATTAATTTTAGACAGATGTTAAGGGATATAGTACAAACAAGTTTAGGACAGCTGTTGTTAGGTTAAACCTTTTAAATTAATTTACCGATACTAGACCTTGCTTACAAATGAATGCCACCTGCGTCGCCCGGGTGGCTCAGCTGGTCGAGCGTCTGACTCTTGGTTTCAGCTCAGGTCATGATCTCAGGGTCATGAGATCGAGCCCCTCCTTGGGCTCTGTACTCAGTGGAGAGTCTGCTGGAGATTCTCTCTCCCTCTGCCCCTCCCCCTGCTCTCTCTCTCTCTTTTAAATAAATAAATAAAAATTTTTAAAAAGGAGTATCACATTCAGGTAAAATAGAAAAATATATTTTACATATACCCAGTAAAATAAACAAACCAAAATTAAAAAATAAAATAATCATGAAACTCCTACAGGGCTACAGTGAACATCAGTCCATAATTTCACAAAAGAAATTTCACATATAAAAAGGTCTATTTAATGCTGTAGTTGTTTGGTAAATAGGAGAGAGTTGTTCAGCTAATGTCTTCACACCTTGTGTGTTCCCACTTGGTTATCTCTGCACCACTAATTTTTTTTAAAAAAGATTTTATTTGTTTATTTGACAGAGAGAGAGCACAAGCAAGGGGAGCAGAAGACAGAGAGGGAGAAGCAGACCCCCCGCTGAACAGGGAGCCCTGATGCGGGACTTGACCCCAGGACCCTGGGATCATGACCTGAGCCAAAGGCAGATGCCCAACCAACGGAGCCACCCAGGCGCCCTACCCTTAATCTTTTTCTTGTCACCACCACCCTCCCTGCTGAGACTTGCTCTCCCTGTGTCCTGCTTCTTTCCTCTCCACGTTATCTTACACACTTAGTCTACAGGATTCCTTGTCCTAAATGTAACACTGGTCATACCACCCCTTCAGGGACTTGTCCTTCTTTACATTAGCATTTCTCACCCAAGATCCTCAGAACACAAATGTCTCTGGACATGTTACATGGTGTTTGATGAAAAAAAAAAGGATTCTGTGATCAAATATACATGGAAAATAGAGGGTGAACAGAGTAAAGTCAATTTCTCTATTTCTCATAACCTTTGATGTCCCAAAAACACAGTGTGAATTTCCAGGTTAGAGCTAAGATAGGAAGCACTTCTCAAATTTATGGCTCCATCCATTGTGAATTGTGCAAGACTGATGAATCACAGACCTGTACCTCTGAAACAAATAATACATTATATGTTAAAAAAAAAAAAAAAAAGAAGATAGTAGGAAGGGAAAAATGAAGGGGGGGAATCGGAGGGGAAGACGAACCATGAGAGACTATGGACTCTGAGAAACAAACTGAGGGTTCTAGAGGGGAGGGGGGTGGGGGGATAGGTTAGCCTGGTGATGGGTATTGAGGAGGGCACATTCTGCATGGAGCACTGGGTGTTATGCACAAACAGTGAATCATGGATCAC